TCAGCTCTGCCTTCCCCAGAAAGGGACCTGTTCTCCCTCCCAACACTGAGCCCAGGAGCTGGGATCGACCCAAGCTCCATTTGTCCCACTAATGAGTCATAAGTGTTTGGCTTGGGCTCCTGCCAGTTCTACTCCTATAAGGAGGAGAGGGTGGGAGAGAATGGGCAAAACTTGTGCCAGATCAGCTCTGTTGAGTCCTGGAAGGACTGCACCCACCAGAGGTGCAGTCAGACACCCACTCGAGACCCACTTTACCCTCATTTCAGAGAATCCCCCAAATGCCTATTCCTAGGCATGCCTTCAGGGTTGAAATCTTGGGGGTGGGTCCAGGAACATGCATTTTTAATAAGCACCCCAGGAGATAGGGATGTACTGTGAAGGTTAAGAACCACTGCTCCAGGAAGTTGAGGGTAGGGATTCTAGGCAGGTTTATGAAATTGTGAATGCATACATTTTTCTAGGGTTATAGCTTTGGTCAAATTCTCAAATTAGGTAAATACTCCTATACTCCTTTAAAAAGCGGGGAGGGGGGCGGAACCTAGGGAACACTGGTAAATGAGATAATTTCTAAGTTCAGTGCAAGCACTGACATGCTACAACTCAGTGACTCTGTTCAAGCTAGCAGGCAAGGTCACAGGACCCTCTGCTTTCACCAGACCTCAGGGAATGATGATGCTAGCCCCTAAAAGAGTCTAGGGAAACCAGGATGATAGAGATCTAGGTTGAGGAACAGTAGGATGCAAATGGCCAGGGGCTTGGACGGGAACAAAGCCAAAGCCAAGAGGACATTCCAGAAGGCCTGAGCTGAAAGGACCCTTAGGAATTCAATTCTCTCTCTCTCTCTCTCTCCCCCACACACAGCTAAACTGTATTTCCCAGTCTACTCTGCAGTAAGTAGGAAAAATGAGTTGAAATCTGCTCAATGGAATATGTCTCTACTATGGTCTAAACATCTGTGTTCCCATCCCCCCACAAAAAAAATTACAAAAATTACCAAAATTATGGTATTAGGAGGTAGGGCTTAATGGAAGATGATTAGGTCATGAGGGTGGAGCCCTCATAAATAATATCAGTGCCCTTGTAAGAGGCCCAAGGTAGCTGTCTTACTCCTACCACATGAAAATGCAGCAAGGCTACCATCTATGAACCAAGAAAGAGGTTCCTCACCAAATGATGAATCTTGGTGCCTTGATCTTGATCTTTCCAGCTTCCAGAATTGTGAGAAATAAATTTTTTGTTGTTTATAAGCTAGCTAGCTTATGAAATTTTATATGGAAGCCTGTGATATTATGGCATAAAAGTTTTGGGTTTTGGTCATGGTTTCAGGCTTATCACTCTTTCCCTGAGGCAGTTCATAGAAATTCTAATCTTCCAACTCTGCTTTTCACTGGCCATAAAAATATTATCTGAACTACCTTGTCTGATTGTAAGTCATTCTTCATTCCAGAGGAATGAAGGCCCCTCATTATTCCAGAGGGATCCTACCCTATACCTCTCAAGGAAGGAATGCTGAAGAATCTAGAAAGGCTTTGCTGGGTTTCCCCAGCCAGTCTCCTAGAAATCATGTCTCCAAAAGCCCAGAATTTGGAAAGCTTCTGGATAGCTGAACAAATGGGAGTTCCTGGATCTGAAATGCACCCTCCCCCCACCAAAGCTCTTGTGTTGAAGGCTTGGTCCCCAAAGCAGCAGTGTTCAAAGGTGGAATCTCATGATTATATCATGAGGGCTGTAATCTCATCAATGGATAAATCCATTGATGAATTTATAGCTTAATGGGCTATTGGGAGGTGATGGAAACTCTCCTCTCTTCTCCCCTTCCCTCCCCTCTTCTTCCCCTAGCTACCATGAAGTGAGAACTGCTTTCCTCTACCACATCTCCACCATGATGTACTGCAAGGAAAATAATCTTTCCTCCTTTAAGTTGTCTGGCTCAGGTATTGTGTCACAGTAACAGAAAGCTACTCTGGAAGCATGGAAGCTCTGCACCCCCTTTCTCTATACCCCACATTATGCATCTCTTCATCTGTATCCCTTGTAATATCCTTAAACTGGTAAACCTAAATGTTTCCTTGAGTTCTGTGAGCCACTCAAGCAAATTAATCAACCCTGAGGAGGGGGTTGTGGAAACCCCAAGTTACAAGTACTTGGTCAGAAGTACAGGTAAAACAGTAAGATATTTGGCTGAAGAAATTCTAAGCAGTGTGTTGCTTGGCTTCTCTTGAATGCTTATAGTAAAATACAGGAAGATAAAAGGATTCAAGAATGAAATTGTCCAACAAAAGAGAAGCAGAACACACCAAAGTGTGACCAAGTCATTTGGTACAAAGATGAATATGGACCAGTCAAGTGCTATCTATGTAGACAACAGGAGAAAGAATGCTGAGGCATACTGGAGATTGTTGTCCCTACTTCAACCATTTCAAGGCCTGGGGAACAGACTGGTTTCAAAGGAAGGGGCTAGCAATGCCCACCATGCCTTAGCACACTACCCATCACCACCTCAAGGCTCTGCTCCTCACTTTTCAGCACAGCACTCCTTGCTTGCCTCTTCAGGTTCAGCTCCAGTGGGCCCACAAGGACCACAGGAGCTACCCACACCCCAGAGGGCATGAGTGGTAAATTTTGGTAGCATCTAAGCCAATGTGCAGAGTATACAAGCTGATGGACATGGCTATCTTCACCTGGACTTCAAAGGATGCTGAAAGCCTAGGGCCCGGCAGAGAACCACCACAGGGGTGGAGCTACTGCAGAGAGCCCCCTCTAGGGCCATGACCGGTGAAGACAGGGGGCAAGGCTACCCAAAACCTCAGACCAGTGTACTATTCCAGCCCAAGAGCCACAGGTATAGAACACAAGCACAGAGCTGCCACAAAAAAACTACCATGGGGTAAGGCCACCACCCAAATGGATACAAAAGGCATGGCATCTGCCCCAGTGGGCCTGCATGGCAGAGCTTCAAGTCAAAGATTACTCCCCAGCTTTAAAGTTTTGAACTTGCTAGGAACCTGTTACCCTTACCTTCTTGCCTATTTCTCCCTTTGAAATGGGAATGTCTATCCTAGGCCTGTCCTACCATTGTAGGAAGCACTTAACATATTTGATTTCACAGGTTTGCAGTGGAGACCAATTTGCCTCAGAATGAACTGTGCCTTCAGTGTCATCCATACCTGACCTAGATGACAGTTAGAAGAGACCACCAACAGGTGGAATGCTATGGTCTGAATGTTTGTGTCCAGTATATGTTGAAATTCTAACTTCCATGTTGATAGCTTGAGACAGGGCCTTATACAAGAAGACTGAGAGTAAAGCCCTCATAAATGTCAGTGCCCTTATAAAAGTGGCTCCAGAAAGCTACTTCTCAACTTCCACCACATGAGGATGTAATGAAAAGACACCATTTATATACCATGATGTAGGCGCTCACCAGATGTGGAATCTACCAGCACCTTGACCTTGGACTTCCCAGCCTACGGAACAGTGAGAAATAAATACGCTGTTTGTAAGCCACCCAGTGTATGGTATTTTGTTACAGCAGCTCAAGTAACTAAGACAGTTTCCCACAGGATTCCCTCTCTCTCCTCGGGATGCTGGGAAACATTCCAAGGCCCCTAAAGCGGGCAGAGACATAATAGGGAAAGAACCTAGACTCCAAATGACTGCAAGACACAGAGCACTCCACAACCAACCCACCCAAGACTGTGCCACCAGTGAGAAATAAAACCTTTTGTGTTAAACTGCTGAGGTTTGGGGGTGTTTGAATTAGCAATCAGCCTACTATAACCAATGTCCACACCGCAAGAACACTGAGCCCAGTGAGTGGAAGAAGAAGTGACATGTGAAATGTCTGAGTGAGCTCCTGGTTAATCTCATCAACTTGATTAGCTTGAGAAGCACCTAGGAGATTAGTAAAGCACACCTCTGGGTATGACTGTAAGGGCATTTCCAGAAAGGATTAACTAAGCAGGGAAGACCCACCCTGAATGTGGGCAGCACCACCCAGTTAGGCTGGGGGCCCACATGGAATAAAAGAGCAAGAAGGAAGAAGCCTGGTAGCACAGGCATGCTTCTCTGCTTCCTAGCTACCATGAAGTGAGCTGATCCACCACCCTCTGTCATGACAGACTCAAACTTGCGAAATGTAAGCCAAAATAATCTTTCCTTCCTTAAATTGCTTGCTCATAGGACTGATGGAGTGGCTCAAGTGGTACAGCACTTGCCTAGCAAGCATGAGGCCCTGAATTCAAATCCCAGTTCTGCTCCCCAAAAAATTCAGGCTCTAAAAGTCAAAGATCACATTTTCCCTCATATGTGGAAACTAGACCTACAAGTTAAATGTACATATAAATACATATATGATCATATATAAATATATACACATATATAGTGAGAGAGACTGCATTGGTGGGGTCTGTCTGAGGGGACAATAGGAGGCAGGAGAGGGAAAGAAAATGTTAGAGAAGAAAAATATTGAAACAATTCATCTATATATGAATATAATATAATACCACATAAGCTGTTGAAAATTAGGGGAGCATGGTGATAAAGAGCAATGGGGGCATTAATTTGATTAAAGTACGAAACATACAGGCCTGAAATCCCCTTGGACTATCAATAGATACTTAAATTTTTTAAAAATGAAGGACAGAAAGGTAAAACATCTTTTCCAGGGGTGGGCACCAGTGGGAAGAGGGTAGGCATAAGGAAAGCGTGAATGAGGATGAATACGGTAGATGTATTTTATATCCATATATGAAAATAGAAGAATGAAATAAGAGGGAGAACAATGGATACTGATATATTGTAAGCACATATGTAAATATCACAATGTATCCCCTTGTACAACTATTATATGCTAATGAAATTTTTTTTAAACTATATTTTTCGTCACACCAATAAAAACCTGTGTTAACAAAAACTTGATTAACACTGGGCTAGAACTAGCACTTCAGTCTTAGAAGTGGGATTGGGAACTATGACCATATACAACAAACCTGGGCAACACCAATTCCCAAAAAACTTTATTCATTGTTTCAAGTGGCAAAACGTCATTGGTCTCTGTGGGGCACCTGGCGGGGCGGAAGAAAATCTGAGGTGGGGCTTGGATAGGGCTCCGCCCATTACAAAAATCAAAGGCTTTTATAAAAAATGCTATAAATTGGTATCAAAAGAAAACCCAAGGGAGGCTGGAGGAGGAAGCAGAGAGGAGGGAAGGAAGAAAACAAAGGAAGGACCAAAACCTTCAACCACTAGTGATGGAATCCAGGTTGGGAGGGAGATGTGGAAGAAAGTTAGGAAGGTGATACAAAGTGCATAAATGTGCCTCCCAGACACTCCTCAGTGGTGGAGGGAGATGGAGGCTGCAGCCTGGGCCTTGGTGGGGCTCCAGCCATCTCCTTGCTCAGGACCCCATAGAACAGGCGCTGCCTGAGACTGCCAGATGGGAAGAACCTGCAATGGTGAAAGAGGACAAGTGATCAGGGGAGAAGATGAGGCTTCAGCTCCCTCTGACCCCTATTCTGGCTCCCCCAGCTTAGCCCAGTTTTGAGAAAGACTCTGGCTAGGATCTCAAGCCTGGTGAGTACCCCCAGAAACCCTAAACTGAATGAACAGGCTTACTTACCACACTCAGAATGGCCAGAGGACCTGGAAAATGTTCTGGAGCCTAAGAAGCTAACTAGGGTGGAAGCCCCTCCCCCTAGTTTGTCCCTGTGGAACAGGGAAGCCAAAGGATTTACCAAGTCTCTGGAACTTGGTTTCACCTGCCTCTTTCTAAGCTAAGGATGGAAAGGGGGATGGGAGCTAAGGGTTAGAAGGGGGCATAGGGCTCCCAGGTTCTCCAGGACAGGCTTTACTTACACCTGAATCCCAAGCTGGATCTAAGCCCAGGACCGTGCCCTCACCTCCATGACTTCTCAGACCTTCTTCTTCTTCAGCTTCAGAGCTTGCAGCCAGTTGGGCGATGATCCTTCTGACCTAGAAGACAGAGTGCAAAGGTTCAGAAAGTAAACTTCAGAGAAGCTGAACAAAATGAGAATACAACATCAGGACAGAAATCTGCCCTCCAACCAGAACAGGCACCCTGGGGTGGAGCTGGAAAACTGGAACTCCGTCACCAACTTACACAGCGTGAGGCATGTCAGCTTCCCCTTCTGTAAAGAGGGGCTTTCCTTTCAGGGTAATACATGGAGGTCAGGGGATGTCTAGAGCTTAGTCACCTACCCTGAGGATTTCTCTGGCTTGGGAGGTAATGTGAGGGGCTTCCCCAGCCCTGGGACCTTGCAGGACTTGGAACGCTGGACTGAGGACTCCTTCTGGCTTGATTTACTCTCCACCTGCTCCCCCTCCTCAGCTGAACGGTTCCGGGAGCGCAGCTTGGCCTGAGAGATGGACATAAGAGGGACAGGTGGCAGGATTCAGTGGGTCAGGTCTTCTCCCAAGAGAGTGCAGTCTCCAGAACCAGGCCTAGACCCCTCTGCAATCCTTTTGCCCCAGTGAACAGGGAGTCATACAAAAAAGAACCTCCTTCAGAGCTGAGCCTTGCCTTACAACAGCAGGTCCTCAAAAAGATACTGCTGAACTAAGTTCAGCAAACTGGGCTGAACAAAGCCAGTAGTGACTTCCCAGACCTGTGATTTTGCTCCTCTGCTCCCTCTGCCTGTAATGCCCCCATAGCCCAGACCCCATGGCTGACTCCTGCAGCTACCTCAAGCCTAAGAGCAAATGCTTACAAGAGTTCCTGTCCAATCCACCTTGTTCTTCCTTCCATCTCAATTGGCATACCACTGGGGGTCCAGCAGGGTAAAGGGACCTTCCAGAGCCCTCCATGGAGAGCAGTTGAGAGGAATGGGAGAGGGGATTAAGGGAATAGATAGCTGTATACAGAACACAAAAGCTGGGCTCAAGGAGGCCAGATGGCTGGATGTGCTCACTAAATGATCAGATGGTACCTTCAGGGCTGAAGGGCTCAGGCCAGGAAAGAGATTGACTTTTAGTCCCAAAGACATCCGTGTCCGACGGCTCTGAGGCTCTTCCACTACCTCCTCATCTGAAGATGGCACCCGAGAAGCCCGTGGCTCTGCAAATGCAGGGAAGTAGGTATCACAGCACAGGTGGCACCCCAAGTGCCACCATCACCCACAACCTGGATCACATGCCCCAGACACCAACAGAGACACCACTAAATAATACATTGATCCTACCTGTAGAATCTTGGAATAGACGTGCATCTGAGTCTGCCGCCTCTGACAGGCCCAGGGTACCCCCAGGCCGGATAGCCGGGGCCCGGTGCCCACGCTTGCGCCCCAAGTTGGCACGGCTCCGATACATGGCACTGTCAAGGATCTCAGTGTCCTGCTCAAAACATCAGCAATACCATTGCCACTGCCACCCCATGGTCCTGCCTCCCTTACCCTACAGAAGTCCCTCAATAATAGTTGTCATGGCTGGTACCTCCTGCAGTTACAGCTTCCTGTTCCCATAGCATCCATAGCCTGTTTCCTGCCTCCCAAACTAAACACACAAGGAAGCCCCAGGAATGAGGCTCTTGCTCACCCACCACCCCAGGCTTGCTCTGCACTGACCTCGATGAAGGAGAAGTCCTGACTGGGGCAGCTGGGGGGAGGGCCTTGTGGGGGCCGCTGAGGGGTTGGAGTAGGCCCCTGCTCGCCCCGCCTGGCCATAGCTGGGCCCCAGCTGCCATCCACCTCTTCTGTCCGGCTGGCTTCACCATCAGGCTGGGGCCTACAGGAGGGCATAGGGTCCCTCGAAGGCAGAGGCTCCAGGGGCTCCCCTTGGTCAGCACCTGCTGTGACTCCTTCCTCCTCCAACAGGACCCTGAGGCCTGAGGCCGCTGATGCCCTTCGAGCCGTAGTTTTAGAGCTGCTGGCTGCCAGCATCCCCTCTAATAGGCAATGGGAGCCAGAGGGCGGGGAGCGGGCCAGACACCTGCTAGAGCTGCAAAGAGGACAAACCAGAAAATAAGGTCACTGGTGAAACCTGGTCTCTCTTGCCTGAAGCCCACAGCCTAGAGGGGAGGGGTTGGACCAGCCTGTTAGGTTCTAATCCCCAATCTACCACTTACTACAACTTGGAGAGGAATAAGCAGCAGGATTCAAAGGGAGTTCGGATATTCTCCAAATTTTGGAAAATTTGCCTGTACATAATGAGCTATCTCGGGGACAGGATCCAAATCTAAACGTGAAACTCATCTATGGCTCATCTATATCTTATACATGCAGCCTGGAGGTAATTATATAGATAGATAGGTAGATAGATAGTTTTTTGTTTGTTTGTTTGTTTGTTTAGTGCACCTGCATTTTAACTGAGACCTGTCACGTGAAACCAGGTATGAAATTTTCTACTTATGACACATAATGTGAGCATAGACGTCTATGCTCAAAAAGTTTCAGATTTTGGGGCATTTTGAATTTTTTATTTTCAGATTAGGAACGCCCAACCTGTACCTGAGACCTTGAATGAATGCAGGGCAGGGGATGGGGGAATGGAGAACTAGGAAGCTAAAACACTTAGTACATACAGCGAATAGCAAAATGTCTACAAATCCCAGCTATTATTACTGCTGTCATTGCTGTTGTTCATGCTTCCTCCTGCTTAAGCAGTGATTTCTTGGAATGAGCCTATGCAACCTTGTGTCATCTTCCGCCCTACCCCCACATCATTATCTCTTTATTCTCCAGTCCCACAGAATAACCACAGATGCCTACAACATACCCAGCCCCCAGCCAGATACACAGACACAAGCTATTCCTTCACCTGGGACACTTGCCCTACACCATTGTCCCTTCACTGACTCTCGCTCAGCCCACTTCCTCCTCTGAAGCTGTCTACTTCTCTCCCCCAGCCAGCCAGCCAGCATGGGCCCCTCAACTTGAGCTGTGGGCTCCAACCTGTGCCAGCCCATGCTCACTCCTAGGATTCTTTGTCCCTTGTCCCAACCCCCAGCTCCTCAAGGGCAAAGTCAGGCCCTTTTTGTCTTTGTGCCCCCAGCACCTGGCCCAGGAGCCAGACAAAGCAAATGTTTGCTGAGTGAATGAAAGGCGGAGTCACCTTGGACTTCAACACAGCCTATGCGTCTTTTGCCTACCTCTCCCTCATAACCTGAAGGGATTATAACAAACACACCCAAGAGGCGCCACACACTCTCATGGACTCTACTTCACACCATGTCCAGCTCTCACTCCCTAAAACACACACACTCGTCGCACAGCTCAGGCAGGACAGGTGTGTGCTGGTATCCACCACACCTACACACAGCACAGAGCCACACCACAATACATGCATGCACCCCATAGTCAAGCCATCACAGAGGGGTGGGAAAAGGCTGGCTGGTGGTGCCCAGAAGCCAGGCTGTCGAGTTCCCCTGGTATTGAATGGGGAGGAGAATGAGGCAGGTGAGTCAATACTGAGCAGGAAGACGGGGCAGGGAGGCATAGAACATGCGTCAGTCTGTCTTTCCACAAGCTGCTGACAGAAGGAAATTAAAGCAGTGTGGGGAGGGAGGAGAGAGAGGAGTGTGGGGAGGGAGGAGAGAGAGGAGTGTGGGGAGGGAGGAGAGAGAGGAAGGTGATAGCAGTTGCTGCGGTACAGCAAGGCAGCAGAATCAGGAGCAGCCCTGGATGGGAGCCAGAGTCAGCTCACCTTGAAGCCAGTTTAAGGGTCAGGAAGTATGGTGAGGAAGAGGTAGCAATGGGTCCCCACCACGTCTGAAAAGATAGGTCCCAAACCCGTTCCTGGGAAGGGCAGAGCAGCCAAGGGAAGGTCCTACAACCAAGGGGTGGATGGAAAGAGTCATTCTCCGAATGAAAGCTGGTCCCAAGCCACAAGGGCAGAGGTCAACAAAGGGAGCTGGGTGGGCCCTGGGGGTGGCCATGGTGATTGGGAGAACCCTAGAAAATGCAGTATGCATCCACCCGGGGGCCTCGCCTTCACCTCTTATCTCAGGAGCAGCTGTCCTGCCCCTGAGAGCCCAGGGGTACAACCTGAGGTTTCCTGGCAAGTAAGCCAAAGGAAAGAGAAATTAGGGACCTGGGTACGGAGCCCTGCCACTCCTGGACAGATGCAGGCTATGTCCCCTCTGTACCAGTGGCCTTGGTCACAAGTTACATGTCTACTCTAAGCCTTAGTTTCTTTATCTGTAAAATGGGGATAATAAAAGCAAATATAAACTTTGCTGGGTTTATTAGCAGAAATATGCACCTAGCACTTGACAACAAATTACCAGGATAATGTTCGCCATCTTCAAGGATGCATCTCATCTCCCATCATCTATACTCATCACCTAGTCTGGACTTTGGACTATCCCAGCCCTGACCCCACCACCGCCTCATACCTAGGGTACAAACCCAGGATATTTAAGGCTCTGAGACCTGAAATCAGAGAAGGTCAAGGCTGTAGCTAGAACAATGTGCCTGAAGGGACAACAGCTGGCCTTGATCCTAGGGAGACAGAGAGAACCACAGGATTGGGGCACACAGGAACAAAAAGAAACTCGCAATCACAAGCTATGGGAACCTCTGTAAATTACAATGCCTCTGTGGACCCATTTCCCCACCCATGAAATGGTAGGGGTACTTGATCTCTGAGGATACTCTTGGCCTCTATGAAGACCCCAAAATGGCTCAGAGACTTCTGTGTTTCTGGGCCCAAGGAGAAGAGCAAGGGATGACGAGGAGGCCAGAAAAAGGAAAGGACAGTACTCTAGCTCTGGGGTACCTAGGAGCACCACTCTACCAGGACAAGATGGCCCCAGACCCAGGAGAGGCCCAAGCTCTCCCCACCCCACCCACCTCCATGCTGGCCTCACCACAGCTGTACCAGACAGCAGTCCAGCCAACAGTGTCCACAGACACTTTTGTCCATATGAAGATGACGACAAAATGTCCCTGAGGGTCTCATCTTATGAATCACACATCACATCCAAACTTGCAAAATGAATACAAATACAGGTGACTAACATTTTTCTCAGTGACTACCACATGCTGGACAGCTTTATATCTATTACTTTGGATGTACTAACCTGGTCCTCACAAAAACTCCATGGGAACTGGGAGTACACTACTCCCAATTTACAGATGAGGAATGTGGAGCCCTAAGAGAAGGCACCTGCCCAAGGTCACAGAGGTGGTGAGAGAATTGAGACCCAAGTTCAGCAGATGGGCCCAAAGCCAGACTACTTTGCCCTACTCCCAAGGACTTCCAGATACAAAGGAAACCTCCAAATTTTTCTTAAAACTTTCCATCAGGTAAAATTTCCCTGTGTCAGATGCTCAGAACACCATTCATTAGGTAAGTGAGCAACACTGCACTCCTCAACTTCAAGGTCCTAAGATGTCCTACCAGACACACTGAGTCTCTCATATGGCCACAGAGCATGCACATTTCCAACCATAAGCATGGTTGTCCAAAATGGACTGGCTTTTGTTAGGACACATTTTGGAAAAAGCTGCCAGAAAGCATAAAATCCACACAGGCCCCTCCAAAACAACTGTTTCCATTAGGCTGTGAAAGAGGCATGCTTTCTGCTGCACACACTGAAGCTCACCTGTACAGCATCAGGGCTAATCCCTGAGACTGCCAACACTGGCTAGATTATGGCAACATGGCCAGAAAAGCCCAGACATTTTAAAGTATGGAGAACAAAGCAGCCCAACCATCACAGCCATCCCTACCCTGCCAGCTTGCAGGCAGTCCCCTCCCTCCATGCTAAACAAAGGGAAGGACTCTGCCTTTCTCAAGAGCCACCCCATTTGTCCTAATGAGAAGGGAAAGGCAGAGGGCCCTGGGCCCCACTCTTTGAAAGTCTAAGTTAAACACAATAGCCACATCTGAAAGCAGTTGACAGAAACAAGCTGGAAAAGACATATTGCCACCTCTGTGTCCTTATGAGGGTCACATACTCTCTTGACCTGCCAAAGGGAGAGAATCAAAATCCCTGTCCCAGATTCACAGAGCAGCTTCGAAGATCAATGAGGTAAAAATGAGCAGCTGAGCACTGGGGCATGTGGAGTGCTGAGTTCCTGGAAGAGAAATCAGGAGCAGCCACACCAAGCCCACCTCCCTGCACCAGGAATATTACAGCCAGAACCCTGGGTTTCCCAAGTCTAACTGTTAGACACTGAGGCTGAGTCAGGCAACTAGTCAAGGATCACAGGAGCTTCCCAACTTCTAGTTCTAAGTATACCCAACTCCACAACTCTCTATTGTAGCCTCCATCATTTCCTATACTTTCCCACTTCTCAACAGCCTGGTCCCCCAGAAAGCTTCCTTCCTGGCCTCCTGCTCCACCTCCATCCCAAATGCCTCACCCAATGCCTATCCAGAGCCTCTTCAGCCCCTTCCTGGTCCCTACTTCCCTCCTCCCACTACCATCTGCCCCTTCCACTTTGAACAGCCCTCACCAACACCTCCTTTCCCTTCCCTTCCCACATGCCCAATGGGAAGCTCCCGCTCTGGGGCTGGAAAAGGTAAAATTTTCTACTAAAGAAAATAAAATAAAACCTCAATGGATAGAAATATTAATGACATATTCACTTGATGCCTTTGTTCACACCATTTCCAAAAGGTGTGAAATCACCTCAGTTGGTTTTAGAACATCCATGAGACAGACTGTAGTTGACTCCTAAAATACCAGTCTGTTCCTTTGGAAAGTCCTCTTTCAGCAACTTGGGGTGGGGGATCAAGGTCATGGGCCAGGAGCCAGGTCCCAACAGTTTCAGGTTCCTGAACTGCTGCTTGCCTGGGCTCTATGACAGGGCAGGCAAGTGTACCAAGTTCCTAACTTCTTGGACAATGAGCACCACGTCACCCATCTGTAGTGGACCAGGCCAAGATGACACGAGGTTTTCCTTCCTCTACCTGTGGAAGCACCACATTTCCTGGCCCAGGAGTACCTATGGCTTCAGGGCTAGGAGGCCTGGAGAACTGACCACTGTGTACAAGAACAGAATCCATCATGAACCATTCAAGATGTGGCAGACTTCACTTCCCCCACACAGCCACCATTCAAAAGCACCAAGAAAAACCTAAAACATGAGTTGCAAAAGAGTAAACACCTTACATTCATCCTCCAAAAAAAGGAATTCACCTCTGTATGTTTCATATTTCAATACAAAGCAGCTAAAGCAAAATTAAACTTTCACAGCCCAAAGTCTCCATTTTCCAAACACTGCAAGTCCACAGGAAAAGCTGGCTCTTTCCTCCTTAGAAAGATTCCGCTTCTTTAGAGAACAGTCACACCTGCCCTCCCACCCTCAGATGGGGCTCCCTTACCTGGCTCCAAAGCCTGGGGCTTCTCCTGTCTCCATTCCAGGGTCTTCAGGGAAGGTCTCAAAGGAAGGTGAGGAGTTGTCTTCACCCAGTGTCTCTGGCCCACTTGTCTCCCCAACCCCTAGCTCCCTGGCCTCCAGGGGGTCTCCGACCTCCAAACCAGGGGACAAACCACCATTGTTCCTAGGGCTTAGCTCCAGGCGAGGGTACATCTCTCCTACTCCATGCTCCCTTGCTTCACTTGGGGCCCCAGAGAGCTCCATGTTCCGAAGCCCCAGGTCCTGGGCCCAGTCCATCTGCCCCACTCCACAGCCCCGAGAACCTCCAGACTCCAGGTCACAGGACACCTCCAAATTCCTTAGACCTAGATTGTCGCCCCAGTCCACCTGACCCACCCCAAGCTCTCTGGGCTCTCCAGGGCTGCAACTTGCCCCTGGGGCCATGTTTCTCAGTCTGAGATCAGGTGTCCAGTCTGCCTGTCCAACTCCACGTTCCCTTGATTTAAGGAACTCTCCTGCCTCCACACTTGACCAGTCAGGTTGTCCCACACCACTCTCTCTAGCCTGACTGTGGCCTCTCACCTCCCCAGCCCCAGCCAAATCTCTACTCCTCACCCCAACATCAGAAATCCAGTCCTTCTCCCCAGCTCCCAATCCTCTGGGCTCTTCAGACCCTCTAGTTTCCAAACGGCTGGCCAGGTCCCTGTCTCTCAAGCCCAGGCTGTCTGACCAGTCCATCTGTCCCACAGCATTCTCTCTGGCCTCACTCGAGCCCCTAGACCTCACACAGCTAGATACTTCCAAGTTCCTGAGACCCAGCTGGTCAGTCCAGTCCACGGCCCCAGCCGTGGTCTCTCCAGGAGGCACAAAGTGACCACCTCCCATCTTACTGGAAGCACTGCTCACTCTGTCCGTGCTGATGACACCAAACTGATAACTCCTCTCAGTGGCCTCAATGCACAAGTCCTCACTCCAGTCTTGCCGCCTTGGGCTAAATGCTGCCTCTGGCTGACGGACAACACTAAGGCTGAACTCCCCATCCCAGCCTTGCTTCCCTAGCTCCCCTTCTTCCAGGTCAGTATCAACAGGGCTCTGAGCCCCTGCCAGTGGCCTCCCCTGCAGCCCTCCAACATCCTGATTCGTGTTACTGCCCTGCCAGTTACCCTCGTCTCTCTGCCTGAGGGCCCCATCTTGCAAATGGGGGATGCTGGGGCTGAACAGGCCTCCTGACTCTCCTTCTTCTGGCCGGCCTGCATCCCTGCTGGTCTCACCCAGGCTATCTTCCCCACTCAGCATCTTCTTCTCAAACTCCTCATCCTGCTGCTGGGCATCCTCAGGGCTGAACCCAGAACTCAGAGCTCGCGGTCCAAAGCCTCTGTCCTGTGCACTGACAGCCCCAGAGCCACTGCTGCTGCTGTAGTCCCTCATCCATGAGCTCTTCCCAAACTCCTCGTCCTGCTGTGATGCAGCCCGGCTGCTGTAGGTGCCAAGTGAAGAGTCTCTCTTCTCAAACTCCCGGTCCTGCTCCTCAGCATCCTGACTGCCATAGCCACCATGGTGGTCCTGCATCCCTGATTCTCGGCCCTGCTCCTCTGCATCCTGGCTGGCGTAGGAGCCTAGAGAATCTCTCTTCCCAAATTCCCAGTCCTGAAGGCTTGCGTCTCCACTGCTGTAAGGACCCCGCGAACCTCTCTTTCCGAATTCCTGGTCCTGGAGCTCTGCATCCCGGCTGGAGTAAGTGCCCTGGGAATCCCTCTTTCTGAACTCCCATTCCTGCACACCAGTCTCCTGGCTCTGAGAGCCCAGCTGGGCTGGCTTTCCAACTACCCGCTCATGGGCCATGAGCCCCCCTGGGGCAGATACTTCACTCCAGTCTTGGCTGCTGCTGCCTTCTCTCCCTTCCTGGCCACGGCCATACCTGCTGGCCCACTCCTTTCTGCTCCCTTCCCCAGCTCCTTGGCCATACTTGCTGGTCCAGTCCCTCTCCCCAAGGCCTGGCTCTCCAAGAGGGCTTGTGCCCCCAAGATCATAGTCCTGAGAAGCATCTTGGCGCCAGCTGGAAGGACTGAAACTGCCAGGATGTGGGTCTGCTGCAATTCCAAATTCACTCTGCAGATCTTTCTGGGCCCAGCCAAGAAGTCCCTGGGAATCAGAAAAAAACAGACAAAGAAATAATGCTTACAGTCAACTGAGGTGGAATTCAATCCAGAATGACAGTCAGTGCTGCTCCAGTGCCAGAGAGCCCCACTTTAGAACAGAGTCAGGATTTGGATTTCAGCTGTGTGACCTTGAGCAAATCACTTAACTTCTCTGGGCCTCAGGGTCCTCATCCTTAAAAACAGACAATTTCTACTGCAAGGAGCCAGTGTGAGAGGATTAAGATCATTTAAAACACCTACTCAGCATAACCTGGCACAAATGGGCACTCAACCAATGGTCCTATGGTCATGTTTACAACCCTTGGGCAACACCTGGCTAAGTGCCAGGAGAAATCCTGCCTGAAGGAGCAGTCTGTACATAGGACTGGGGGGGAAGTGGAGGGCCCTTTCAATTAGGAGAGGTCAAGACACAGATCCCCTTCCTGGGTACCCAGGCCCTTCCTTCCCAAGGAAAGATCCTCTGCCTGCTCTCACCAGAAGAGCTCTCCACCCTCACCTCAGCCGGCCCAGGAAAGCCAGGAGCGGCAGTCTCTGGCACAGGGTTCCCTGCACTCCCACCCCACCTTCCCTGACTCACCCCAGAGGGCAGGCGGGCTCGGGGCTCAGGGCCTCTGAGCCTGCCGGCCTCATCCCGCAGGGCTGCGTTGGCCAGCAGCCGCTCCAGGACAGACATGCTGGCTTCCCCACAACCAGGCTGGGCCATGGCCCCACCCCCACCACCACCACCCTGGGGCTGCTGGGTGCGGTGAGTATGGGACAGGGCTGGGTTGCTCCCCTAGCCTGGACCTGTCCAACGGCTCCAGCTCCTGCTCCCTGGCCCAGCTCCCTGAGCTCCCTCAGAGCAGCTGCAGCTCTGGCAGCCCCGCCCAGAAGCCAGTTGAGTCACCCACATCCTGGGACAGACACACCTACTGCAGAGTCAGTTTGATGTTAACCCCTTCCTGCTCCTCCTCTGGACTCCTGAGCCCCCACCCCTTGCCTCCAGTCCTACCCCTACCCGTCCAGGCCAGGATTGAAAAATAAATCTCAAAAGCCACCTGGATCCCAGCCCTTTAATGCAGAGGCAGCCTGGTAGGAAAAAGGGCACTGGGCCGGGAACTGGTGCCCTGGCCTAGGCCCAGCCACCAAACTTGCTGGGTAATTGTGCACAAAGATCTGCTTCCTCTAGGTTTCAGCTGCCCATCTACAAAACAGATCTGGAACTCAAGGGTAGTTCAGTCATAAAAGCCAACACTTAAGCACTTATGATGAGCCCAGCACTATCTTAATACGTTACGTGTCAGAACTCATTTAATATCCACCATCATCCTCTGAAGTAGAACCCATTGCTCCATTTTACAGAAACAGAAACCGAGACAGAGGTGGACAGGTAACATCTGGGCAAAGAAACAGCAGAACTAGGAGATGTGCACAGAAAACTGGCTATACTATCAGGTTCTAAATGACTATGCTATTTTGCCTTGCACAGTATTCCTGGTAATCATGGGCTGAACACTTAGCATATGCCACACGTTGCACCAAGCACTTTCTACATTTCATTTTGCCCATTATAAAAGGCAAATGCAATTACTATAAAAGGACCCTCTGAAGCTTAGAATTAAGGTATACTCCCAAGACTGCTCAGCTAGTGAGTACTGGTGTCAGGATTTGAACTCATACTACAACTGAACCCTCAGCACCAGCCTGTGCAGCTCTGCCAGCTTTCCCAGGTCATAAAGCTATGAGGTGCAGGTCCACAGCAGTCTTGCTCACTGCTATATCCATGTTGCAAGAATGACGCTTACCAAGGCCCTGGCCTCCATCCCCAGAGGCCTCCTCCCATCCTGTCCCTGTCCTCACCTCAGAGCAGGTACTTGGGGATGATGCATCCTTTAGCTCAGATCCAGCTCCCCGCCTTGCACTGCCACCACTGGGTGGTGGTGAAGCCAGGAGTTCATCCAGCCAGCGAGAGCTGCTGTCAGGGACTGCAGGTTGTGGGGATGTCCTACAGCAGTCTTCAGCCTCTGTCTTGGGTTGGGTGGTCTCAGCCTGGACTAGGATCACCGCCTCCTCCTCAGCAGGCAATGCCTGCCCAGGGTCAGGGGCATCAGCAAAGAGAACACAGGGCTGGTCAGGGGGTGCTGGCTGCTGCTGCCCCACTACTGGCTCCAATATGGGCAGAGCTGCCTCCCTGGTGGCCAGAGGGAGGGGGCATTCTGGTTCAGACAGTGGCTCCTGGTCCTGATGCCTTTCCTCTGCCTGCAGTAGGGGTGTTCCTGGAGGGAACTCAGTTGTAGATGGGGACTCACAAGTAAGAGCTGGAGACTGAGGCTGACTCTCTCCATCATCCTTCTGGAGTGGGGAGATGCATGGGTCATCCCCCTGCACCCAGGAACTAGGCCTTCCGGGGCCCCCTGGAGCCGACTGAGCCCCTTGTCCCTTCTGGGACACTCCTTCTTCCTGATCAGACACAGCACAATTGCTAGCCTCAGCAGCCTCTGCAGCCTCACTGGCTTCTGTAATAGGGGAGGGAGGTGGGGAATCCAGTCGCCATACACCCAGACCTGATGGCCGCGTGGGGAAGGTCCACTCAAATGATTGTGACAAGCTCCAGTTGGACTCTGCCCCACTCCCAAAGGGACGATCCAGGGCTGACTGGCTTCCCTGGGTTTGGGGCAGGGCAGCCAACGAGCCCCCAAGCTTCTCCTGGTCCCGGCTGGGTGGCCGGAGCACACCTTCAGAGAACCGGCGCTGAGCCAGACTGCTGGGGGAGGGGTCTGTGTCTCTCTTGGCTGCTGCCTCCTCCCCAGATGGAAACGTCCGAGCAAGATCCAGCAACTCATACCCCTCTATCAAGGGCCGGGGTGAGGTGGCTGGGGGTTGCTCTGGGCTGTGGCATCTGGAGACCTTCTCCAGGGGAGGGCTGCTGGGTCTGGGAGACTCTGGGGCTACCTCAGCAGGAAGTACGGGGCTAGGGGGATGACAGGTGCCCTCATCAGGCAGGGCTGCACAGAAAGATGCTGGAGTCACAGGGAGGCAGGAAGAAGCCTCAGAAGCTGCAGGACTCTGGGCTTCTGGAAGTTGACAATGGCAGGGAGAGCTCTCATCAGGTGAGTGAAGCTGGGGAGACCCAGGGGCTGGCCCAGACACTTCAGGGGAGAGGTCTGGGCTGGCAGAGCCTCCAGGCCCTGAGGTGGGACCTGGACTTGAGGGGACCCAGGGCTCGGAAACCTGCAAGACAAAGGTCAAGAGCTGTCACTCACATCTCAGCTGTGGGGGGGAAGCCCCCTCCAGCCCCACATAGATCTCAGGTCAGCTGCTTCTTCATGCTGTCGCTGCACAAATGGGGAGGAGGAAACCAAAGCTCAGGGCAACTGAGAGAGTACCCACAGGCTCTCTCAGGCAGGGCTTCCTAAACCTCCTAGAGTCATGGAGCTCTCCTCCTTTATCTTTTCCGCATAAAATATACCCAGTCTTTTTCATTTAGCATGATTCTTACCATTTCAGTGGTTCAAACCCAACCAACCACCCAACCCAAAGCTCATCTGAGGATTTCCTAAGAGGCCACAATTGATGGGTGAAGAATACTTGTTTTATAAAGTGAATAGGAAATTTGACCATCTAAATAGGGGGAGAAGGAAGGGGTTTATCTCAGAGCAGATTCTAAGGTCAGGAGTAGGCACGGGGGAGGGGTAGTGCTCCCCACCCTGCTCTGTGCACCTACAGGTCCTAACACTACCCAAGGAAGCAGAAAGGCTGTGGGATTCTGACAAAGGGCATGAAAAATGCCTGTCTTGGAGTCATCCCAGCACTGCCTCCTATAAGAAAAATGCTTCCTCCCTCAGGTCTCTCTGAGCCTCAGCTTCCCCATATGCACTTGGAGGCTGATGGCAATAGCCATTATCTAACTCAAGAGTTAAATAAGGATTAAATAAGATCAGACATAGAAAAAATAGCTACTGTGAGATGATGGGGAATGGAGTAGCAGGAAGACACCAGGAAGAGGAAAGGGTCAGGGTTAACACCAGGCCTTTGGCCCTCCTTCACTCTGCCTACCCCCAACAAATGAAATGACTCTGGCTCTATCCAACCTTGGCTGCCCCCTCCAACACAGCATAGATTTTCTTCCATGATCACCTGCTGGGTCTGGGAGGGGGAAGGGGCCTGCTTTTTCTCACCCTCCTTCTTACAATATTCTAGTATCAAAGCTCATGCCCTTAAACTACACCTCCCACAGTCCCTCCTTGTTAGCCTCCTACAAACCCCTCATTCCTTGAAAATTGTAGCTCCTGGATCACAACCCTCCCAGCACCACTGTTATAATTCACAGTGATTCCAAGAGCACAGTCGACCCCTTTCAGCATTCTAACTAACCTGCACCTTGACCTTCTTCTCCCCACTGACTCAGGGACCAAGATCATGCCCTACCCCTATCCTTCCCAATAACTTACCACCATCACCATAATCTCAATTTATAGTGTTCCACTGGCCCATCACCACTCCCTATGTGTCCTGCTTACTCTATTTCCTCAACTCCTGCAATCTTCAACCCCTTTGGGAAACACAGTGCATTAACCCTACTTCCTTCTCCCTGCTTCCAGGGCCCTCATGCCCTCACATCTCTTTTTTACCACCATTACAGTCATCTTTTATACAACTCCCCAGTTATCTTCATCAGATTGTGTAACCTGTTTAAATACAGCTCTCCACAAGCCCTAGGCTAGTCTCTAGACAGGGCAAGTGGACATGACTAGAGAAAAATATGTAGTCATGATGGCTGGGCTCACTTCAGTCACCACTGACAGATCTCAGAGCTACCCAGCAACTCCACCACACCTCATTCCATTAACTCCCAGGCAACACATTTGCATGTCTCTCCTCAAACCTCCAACACCTCCTCCTCATCCTCCATCAGCTGAAGACCTTGCTTCAGAACAGAGGCTACTTGCAGACAATGCTCATGTGCTGCACCCTCTCCCAATGCCACCTCCAAGGGAGCACAAGCATTTGTACTCAGCCTCCCCTTCTATATCCAGGCACTGTCCTTGCTCCCGGCTAAAGCCAATCCTGCCTCTTTCTCCTGCATCATTGATTTTTCCCTCCCTCCTGGATCATTTCCATCAGCAGACCAACTGCTCTAATTTCTTCTGTCTTTAAAAAAAAATCATTCTTGACCCCACATCTCCCTCTAGCTACCATCTGTTTTCTTGAAAGTGTTGCCTATGTTCACTATCAGAGGCTCCTCTTGTCCCAATCTCTTTTGAACCCTCTCCAAACAGGCTTTCTCCTTCACCTTGCCACCTCATTACTCTTGTCAAGGTCACTAATGACCTCCCTATAGGTAAAACAAGCTCCTGGTCCTCACCTGATGCAATCCATGCAGGGCATTTGGCGGTTGCCAGCCCCTCCTATAGTCCTGGGCTGTCTTGGCTTAGCAGGGCTCTCTTCCTATTTCACAGTTGATTCCTCCCAGTCTCCCTTGCTGTACCTTCAAGCCTCATCTCTGCTGCACTGCCACCCACTCCCTCAGTGACCTCAGCCAGTCTCAGCTATCACTTCTACACTAACAATTCCCAAGACTTCATTTTACCTGAACACCAAACTAGAATATCCGATAACTTGTTTCCACTTGGATGTCTAAAAAGCATCATGAACTCAACAAACTCCAAAGTAAGCTCCTCATATCTCTCTCAGTCCTTCTTCACCTTCAGATGTCCCCATCTTAGTATATGGTAATCTCACCCTTTCAGTTGCTTGAGTCAAAAGCCCTGGAGTCTTCCTACATTCCTCCTTCCTTCTCTTCCTCCTCCTTCTAACAATCTATCTGAAATGTCCTGTCCTCTTCACCTTTAGATCACAGAATCAATGACTTCTCACCACCTCCACTATTGGCCACCTCCAGGGTCTCATCTGCATTATTCCAACATCCCCCAATTGGTCCCTGCTGCTGCTGTTAACCTCCCTGTGCCCCATTCTTAACCCAGCAGGCAAGATGATATCTTTACAACTAAGTAGCAGCACATCACTCTTCTTCTCCAAAATCCTTAACGGTGTCTTCCCCCTCACTCAAGTTCTTATAGCAGCTTGATAGCCTTTACACCATCCAGCCCTCTCCCCTTCCGGTCCTCCCTACCACCTAACTCCTCTCCCACTGAAACCCAGACATCCTGGCTTCCTTGCCTATGTGTGCAGTGCCCTCTACCAAGAATGTTAAGCTCTGCCCTGGCCTTAGCAGTGAGGGCGTCCGTCCCCACTACCTTTACCCAACACACTATCTTTCTAACTCTCCCAGCACTCGTCTGATACACTATGTATCTGCTGGCCTATGGGATGTCTATGTTTGAGTCTACCTCCCTGCCTTAAGTGAGTTCTCTCACAGCAGGGGCAGTGCATATTCTGTTCTCTGCTGCTTCTCCAACATAGAGCTCACAGTAGGCGCTCAGCCTACTTACTATAGGAAGACACATAAATGAAGTCAGATCTCCATCACAAGACAGCCTTTGCTAGCAAGGGCTCTATAAGCAAGAAGGACCATCTGTCATGTGGTTTATTCAGGAGAGCATGCATGGTAGGGGGAAAGAAGGAATGAACAGGAAACCCAGAAACAGCATTCCAGCCAGGAAGGGCTCTGGAGTTGGCATCTCAGTTCCTGCCTCAGGCCAAACAAGTGAAAGTCTTGTGAGCCCTGGCATTCTCAGCTCTCACATGGGACAACAGGATCTGTAGCCAGAGTTATCACAAGCATTAAGTAGGTGAATGTTCCTAGGACATGCCTAGCACATAGTAGGGACTTACTCAGTGGCAGTTCTGTGGATATAATTACTGCTTGTAATGACCAGCCTCATAACAGGAACTACACTTATCCACCTTGATGATCCAGACACTGGAGTTGAGAAATCTGGGTCTTTGAACCAGCCCTTGGGCAAGTTCATGGGCCTCACTTTCCCCATCTAAACCACACAGAGCATGGAAGAGATGATCTACATGACCTCAAGTCCTAAAATACAACAATCTACTCATAACAGGAAGATAACTCACATTGGTAGGTGGCTCAGAGCTGGCCAGCTTAGCCAGGTCCCCGTTGATAGCCAGGCTGGAAGGGGGGTTCCTGTGAGGGAGAGAGACAGGAAGTAGAAGCACAGGATGTTGAAGCCTGCCACAAAATTGTAAAGGGAAAGTCTCCCTAAGTGAGTTCAACAGCACCCAAAAATTAAACGCCTCAGGCATTTTCTCCCAGGGCTTGCTTAAAGCCACTAGTGACAAGGAAACTGCAGTTTCCACAGAGCAAGTGTTAAGGAGACAGTAACTACTCCCTACCTGCACATACAGAATTAAATTCACTGAGCTTTTTTAGGAAAAGCACCTTGTGTGCCCAGACCCCTCAGTTGTTCCCAAGAAGGTAACACCTCCTCCCCTGCCCCATGAGGGGTTAAAGTTCTTCTCCAGCCAGACAGCGCAGCTGGTCCTAGCTGCCCTGCCAGTATTTCTTGAAGGATTGCGATGCAGAAGGAAGGGGAAGAGTGATTTTCCAAGGCTTAAGTTGTTCCTCTTAAGCCCTTTTTGGACGGAGGATGGAAGCCAAGCCTGGGAAGCAGTGTGACCTCACAGCAGCTCTGGTCTGGGACATGCAAACTCCAGAGCCAAGCCTCCAGGTATTTACAGGTGAGAGAAAGGCAAGACTGGAAGGCAGGGCAGGGCCAACCTTTCAGGTTCCCACTTAGCCCAGGCCACAGCAGCCCTAGCCTCCACAGCAGGAAGGGGAAGGCAGTCTCTGAGCCCAGCCATGCCTCCAGCTGGCTCTCCCTGCCCCGAGAACAGTTTGTGCAGTCCTGGTTCCCAAAATTCCTCAGTGCCCTGTGCCCCCCCTACCCCAGTGGGCACCTTCTGGCCAGCCTTCCACTAGCACCAACTTTGGGGAAGTACATTGTGGGCAAATGTCTCCAACTGGCCAAAATCTCTGTGCAGACACTAACTAAAGTAGCATCAAGATGTATCTTATCTCTCCCATCAGACCCGCCTCACTGACAGAGAGTCTGCACTACAAATCCTGATACCACTCCTCACTTGGAACACTGCTCTTCCCACAGAAGGAGTTCACAGTTAAAAAGCACAGGCTCAGCTAAGTGCAGTGGCGCATGCATTCAATCCCAGCTCCTCAGGAAACAGATATTGGGAGGATTTAGAGGCCAGCCCAGACAAAAAGTTAGTGAGATTCTATCTCAAATCAGTAAGCTGGGAGTAGTAGCATGCACTTGTCACCCAGTGGGAGGTGTGGCCTAGTCAAAAACTCGAGACCCTATTAAAAAAACACTAAAGCAAAAAGAGCTGGGGACATGACTCAAGTGGTGCTTGTCTAGCAAGTGTGAGACCCCAAGTGTAAACCCCAATACCACCAGAAAAGGAAAAAAAAAAAAAGAGCAGAAGCTTGGGCATCAAACAGAACTGAATTTAAACTCCATCTTTGCCTCTTATTTGCTGAGGGAATATGGAAAGTACTTTTGAGCCTGTTTCTTCATCTTTAGAATGGATATAACAGTCCCTTCCCCAAACAAGATGGCCATGGAGTCGATGAAGCAAAGTCTGATGCCCACCTCTCAGTGTATAAACTAAAAACAAAATTCTGTACTGAACACTAGGAGTCTGTCATAAACATGTACCATCTCTGTAAAGAAATGTTCAATTTTTAAAATCATATGGTAATTGGGCAGGAGATATAACTCAATGATAAATCATCTGCCCAGCATGTGCAAGGCCCTGGGTTTAATCCTCAGGGTAGCAAAAGCAAAAAAAAAAAAAAAAAAAAAATACAGTAATGACAGCTCCATCTGCTGGGGAAATGCTTTGTGACTTTGACTGGTGTCTGCTATATTCACAGCACACGCTTAACCTAAAGCTGAGGACCACAGCCTTAGATGGGAACACCTACTTGCTCCCCAACCTCCAGGCTGCAAGAAAACACGCAACCTTCCATGCCTCACCTCTCCTTAGCAGTCTTGCTGTGTTCTTCCTGGCATTCTACTGGAGATTTTGCTGGCCCTTCCTGGGACCATCTCCTGGCAAGAGTCTTGTCATCATCTTCTCTGGGACCAGTGATCACACCATAGGTCCTGGGGCCATAACGTGAGCTGCCATCATGGTTAAACGTGAGGCGGGAGCCCCAGAGGCGGTCAGGGCTGGCAGGGACCTCTTTCCGTGGCTGCTCCATCTTGGCCAGTATCTCTTCCACCGTGGTGGCTGCAAACCTCTCTGAGGCTGGACGGAAGGGGGCAGGGGCTTTCCGCACACCCCCTGGGGCAGCACATCGAGCTGGGGGTGTTAAAGGCGGCAGCTCCTCTTTCCCAGTCTCATCTTTCCCAGACTCTTGGGTGGCTTCTACTCCAGCAGAGGCCTCAGCTGTAGGCCTTGGTGCAAATGGAAGGGGACGCTTGCTGCCACCATAGGGCTGGGGTCCCGCCAGCATGTTCATCTTCCGGGCAGAAGGCAGCTCAGCCAGGGGACCCCGGGGAGGCCGAGGCCCAACAGGCACCAACAGGCTGGGCTTGGCAGGCAGGGCTGGCTTGGCAGGCAGGGCCCGGGGCTTGGGCTTGACTGGGGGTTTGGCCCGAGGGTCTCCTACAAAAAGGAAGAGTTGGTAGGAGGCTGTCAGAAGAATGAGCAAGCAAACTTCTTGTGATTCCTATTCCATCAAATCTCCCACCCTCCAATTTCAGAATGTTCACATCCTTCTAGGCACAAGTGAAATGCCACCTGTTCTATGAAGCTTTCCTTGACTTTCTACACTCATCCCAGAAGCATCTTCTCTCTTCTCCAAAGTTCCAAAATGTTTATCCAATTCCCCTTTTAAGCTAAAGTTATTTATGGACCCTGCAGGCACCTTATTTCTCTTGCATCTTATTTTCCATCCAACACTAATTCCTACCAAATGAATGAATGAGTGAATGAGCCAATAAATAAATGCCTGCCTGCCCACACTGTAAGCAACTGCCCCCAATTTAGTCCTCTCCCTTATATGACATTCTACTCTATCTCCATAGTGAACTTTTTATCCCAGCTGAGTTTCTCCACCCTGCCTCCCAGCTGTCCCCTCCCCCACCACACTCCCAGGCCACCTTCCCATTGTCATCCTGTATATGATCAGGAATGCAAACTTACTATTGACCCAACCTAAACAGAAATAAGTCTGTTACAAGAAAATAAATAAATAAAGACCAGAAATCTACCTTCTATATTAGGCATTCCAATGACAAATAATAAAAAAAACCTTGAAGTTACTCATGGCCCAAACCCTTATACAACAGAATACTCTATCACCTGCTCATTCAGTTAAGTCTAGGAAAGAGTCTAGACAGAAGCCAGAAGGTATGCGTTCAAACCCCAAGAGGTGTACTCCAACTCTCCCTCTGTGCCTCAGTGTCCCTCTCTACAAAACATGCAACATGATCCACATCATCTCAAAGGTCCTCTGTGCTCTCACACCTGATGGAGATATAAGCCTCAACATGCACTGAGAACCTTTTGAACTCATCCTGCGTTTCCTCACTTTCACCTCAACAGAATCATCGTTGAACTAACCCCCCCCCTCGAATATGGGTGCAGCCTCTCCCCTCCCCACCCTCCTCCCAGCCAGTGCCCCACCCTGCACCCATCACCCATCAGTACCTGGCTCAGAACCAGCAGGCACCAGCTCCTCCTCCATTTCCCTGGGTGGTGGGGAAGCCATGGCTGTGCTTTCCCTGAGAGTAGATACCTTCATCACATGCAGCAGACCCTGCTTGAGAATTGGGAAGTAGAGGAGTGTGAGCTGGGCTGGCTAAGGACCCAGGAAAGGAGGAGGAGGGAGGAAAAGAGTTTGGGCGTTGACAGCAGGCTTAGCCAGGAAAGTTTCCTATTTCTAGCAGACACAGTGTGGGACAGGAAGAGGGAACTTCAGGAGGGGGTTGGAGGAGGTCAAAGGAGGTCCCCACAGCCACATCCTCAACTCTCCCAGATCCTGTCCAACTCTGGTCTCCTGATCTCAAAGTCCTGGAGCTTACCCCACTATGCTCCCTCCTATGACAAGCTCTCCAAGACACCCCACTTACGGTTCCCAAGGCACCCCCACTTGGGTCAGGCAGCCCCTCTGGAGGTATCTACTCAAGGCAGAGTAAGAAGACCGAAAAGTATGAAGCCTCTCTGTGAATCACCTCATGGGAGACGGGAAAAACCCGCTCCTCCCCAACCTGGGGCTCCACCTCCCCCTTCCCGCTCACAAACCCTCCCTCTCTCCCTCCCTCTCTCCCTCCCTCTCTCCTCCTCCACAGCTGGGAGTGGCTCTCTTCCTCCCCTTCTCCCCATTCTCCTTCCCTGCCCCCCTCCCCCTCCCTCAGAGCAGTCTCATCCAAACACGGAAAAATAAGGAATAAAAAGTAAACATCTGGAATACATTTTTTTCTTTAATTTCTCAATCGCTTTGGCTTCAGCTTGGAATTTGATGAGGTAAAGCCAGGGCCTAGTCCTGTTGCCATAGTAATGGCCTCCCACTGGATTTCCAGAGCCTCGCCAAGGGGAAGGAGGAGCCGGCCTAGCCTGGGCTGGGAGAACGGGACAGGGCTTGAGAACATCCGGGGGGTGGGGTAACTAAGAGGAAAAGTCCCTGGGGTTCCCCCTTCCAGGACAATGAGGGAGGGACAGACATAGCCTATGAAATGGGAATATGTGGGTATCACTCACCAGCCTGGGAATGGCCTAAAAGAGTTCTGAGGGGGTACAGAAGAAGAAAACAAACCAGGTGATAATAAACCATGGTGGAAATAAACCATGGTAGAAGCCAAATTGGGTTCCCTATCCTCTAAGCCTATGACAGGAGCTTTTGGGTCTGATATTTTAGGATTCAAATATTGAGTGGGACTACCACTTTTTAGCTGTGTGACCTCTCTAAGGCTCAGTTTCCCCTATCTGAAAAATGGGGTTATTAAGACTCTCCAAGCTTAAATCAGACAATGCTCAATGTGTAAGCAACCAGTAAACATGCGCCATTATTACTGTGATTACATTCGGCGTCACCAATGAGTTAACATCCATGGTAACCACTCTCCTCTCTCCAACCCCAGGCTGCCAGCATTCCCAGACCATTCCTTCACATGCACACACCCTGTGGTGGTGGTTGGGGGGGGGCAGTCATGTCACCTGTTCTTCAGGCACTCCACCACCTCCTCAGTTCCCATCCTAGCTGCTGAAGCACCCTCCCACCCCCAAGACCCCTCAGGCTCTCCAGCAGGGGGAATAGAGCCCTAACCCTCTTAAAGAGGAGGAGATGCTTCTAAACACCTGGTATGCATATAGCCCTGGAGGACAACCTAGACCTGCTGGGTTGCAACCTCCTACTCTACCTGGTCTAAGAAGACAGTGAAAAATTCTAAGGAATCTGTGATACTTAATCTGCACACACCCTCTCCCCCACACACACCCCCAATCTTTGACCCTGTCTCAGCTTGTTTCAAAGATAGGAAAGGGTATGAAGAAAGAGGGTAGCGAAACACAGCACTGGTCAACCTACTGATCAGCCAACAGGGTGGACTGCCCACTGTGAGTGGGTGAATAAGGTGCAGAGCCAGGCCAAGTGTGTATGTGGGGGAAGGCACGTGATAGAAAAATAAAATTAAAAACAAAATTGTCCTCTTGTCCTTGAACATTACTACAAGGGACATGGTGGCCCAGAACCAAAAAATGCTCTCACCTGGGAGCCTTATGGGCACGTCTGTGGTTATGAGGGGCTGTAGCGATGAAAGCGGGCTCCCTAAATGGGAAGGTGGCCTCAGAAACTGAGAGGCCTCAGCCAGGAGCCTCAGGTGACCAAGGCCATGGTCAGAAGCTGCAGAATCACAGCGGCTCTAAGCACTCCCCACCCCCAGGGACCGTGGAAGCCCAGCGATCCGAGCAGCAAAGACAACCACAAGGACTGGGGAGAAGCAGGGCAGCCCCAAACCCGGACAGGCGCCTTAGGGGCCTCCGCGCAGGCAGGGCTGCCCCTAGGCTCTCCCGGCTGGATCTGGGGCCAGGGGGATAGCATGTAAACTGCTGGAAGAGGGAGGGCCAACGGGAAGACGGAACAGCCCGGGGCAAGGAGCTGTCTGGAGGGGCCCAGTGGGGAGCTCTGGACACAGAGCGGACAGCAGCAGCCGAAGAGGAGGAGCAGAAGAGGGTGGTGGAGGAGGGGGCGGCGGCAGAAGCAGAGGACTGTGCGCGGGCTGTGAGGCAGCCGGCGAACAGACGGTGGACTGGCGACGAGGACAAGGTGGGGGCGGACTGCGGTGGCTGGGGGCGTGCCGAGGGAGCCGGGGGAAGGGGCTAGCGCAGGCCCGAAGGAAGGGGGGTAGCAGGGGTCCCCCTAGCAGCTCTGCCCGCCCCCGGCCCCGCCCCAGCCCTCACCCCCTCCCCCCTTTCTTCAGCCTCCGCCGGCACGAGCTCCACATCATAAGCCCTCCACCCCCACGCACACGCGCCAGCTCCCCGGTGCCCTGCATCCCGAGCGCCCCGGCTCCTGCAAACTTTCCTGGTGACCCCACCACCACCTCAACCTGAGGTCCCGGCTGGAAAGCGCCCGCTCCTCCAGGCCCCTACCCCGCCCCCGATCCCGGACCCCGCCCCCTCCCTCACCCTCCTGCCTGCCGGCCCGCGCACTCACGCGCTCCCCCGGGATCCTGCTCCGCTCGGTTCGGCGCCCCCACACCAGTGCCCGCCGCCGCTGCCACCGCCGCCGCCGCCGCCGCCGCGCGGGACCGAGCCACTGCGAGTTTCGCGGGGCCCCACCCCTAGCACCGCCCAGAGTCACGCCCCCAGGTCATCTCATGAATATTCATATAGGCGGAAACCCGGAGCGGGGAGCCGGGGCAGAATTCGTCCTGTCCCACCGTATGCAAAACAAGCGCCGCGCCGTACTCAATTATTCATGATCTTGCAAATGACAGTCCCGCCCCAGGCTCGGGCGGGCGAACTGACGCAATTTACCGAGTGCCACCGAGATGACTGCCTAGAGAGGAGACCGCTTCGGACAGCCCTTTCTCCCGCCCAGCAGCCTGCACTGATTGCAGCACCATAGAGCGCAGCCAGCAAGGAGGTAACCGTTGGCCGACTGGAGAGGCTTCCTGTTACAAACACCTGAGTCCTCCAGAGAAGGCCCGCAACGTGGCCACTCCACGTGGGTACTCAGATTTGGAGCCAGTATGGTAGCTCTGCTTTCGTTGTTAGTGCTCTGTGTCTCCTTTTAGGCCTCCTTCTCAGATACAGGTTCTTCCCACCCCAAAAAATTTCTCCCCTAAGAACAAAAGCTTCACTCATAGGCCATACCTTTTCTGCACCCCCACCACACACGCCCTCCCCCTCTCTCCAGGCTCAGGTTTCCACTCCCCTGGCTGCAGGGAAGATGGTCAATCCTGATTCTGTTATCTAAAGCCTAAGGAAGACCCTTGACTCAGTACTTAAGGATAGCGGTAAGGGCTGCCTCCCCTTGCTTTGGCTAATGGAGCTATGAGACTGCCTAATCAGATCAGTACTCATTACTAGCCTCTCAGGTGGCACATCCTGGCAGAAGAGGGTGAAAACCAATGCTTGTCCAGCCGGGAATAGAACAGGAGGTACCTAGAGACTTATGTCCTGGCCAGCCAGCAGGGCCCAACCCAGTCAGCAGAATGGTAAACACCACCATGCAAAGTGGAAATGAAACATCTAGAAAGGAGGCATAAAGACATGGTTTCCAAAGTCAGTTCCCTTTATTAAATGTTGATTTCACTGACCAGAAATACAAAATAAAAGTAGAAATAGGCCCAGTTAGGAGCTATAGGCTTGACCTCACATGATCCCTGCTGCAGCAACCTGAACAGGACAAGAAGCAGCTGTATCCCTAAGGTCCAGACAGCAGAATGAGGATTTGGATCCTGTGCTGCCCTGTGAACAGATAGTAGACAGAATCCTACCCAGTCTCTCCCCAAACTACAAGGAGCAGTCCTTATGAAGCAGCAGGGGGAAGACCATTCCCCACTGTCCGAGCGAAGTGCCTGCCTCCAGAGAGCTTGTTCAGATGGCACAGAATCCAAGCACTACATTTCATGTGAGGAGAAACTGGTACCAAAACATGAGTTGGGGAGCTTTGGGGTGTGGCAGGGTAAGTGCGTAGAGAGAACTCTCCCTACTCATCAGATCCTGATGCTGAGTCCTCTGAGCTGGGAGGAGTACTAGCTAGTTCCTCTTCTTCAGAGTCCTGAAAAACAAAGATTTCTTAAGGGAAAAAGTGTAGAGCTCTGGTTGCCTTCCCAGCCACTCTCCAGGGGTGACGGGCCCCTATTTCCTACCCCCTCCTTTACAACTCCAGCACCCATTTCAGAACCTCACAAGTCCACCTGTCCACTCCAATTCCAACTTATTACTCTTATACACTATCCACAACCTCTAGCCCACACTCACATGCCCCCCTCTTGCAGTCCCATAGCCCCCACACTCCTGCCGCACCTCGCTCCTCCTCCTCTTCTTTTTGCTCTTGTTCTCTCCTGAGGAGCTCTCATCACTAGACACAAATTCTTTGCTCTTGAAGCTCTCACTTAGCTGCCTTGATGATGACTTGGATGATGAACCCCTAGAAGGTGTGGATTTCTTTTCCATCTTTACCTTTACTTTCTTCTTCTTCTTTGACTTATCCCTGAATTAGCAAAGGGGAAGAGGAGGTGTGCCATCAAGCTCCTTGTATCATCAAGAGAGTCAAACTCCTCCTAGCTTTAGGGAGGCCTTTCCCAGTCCCAGCCATACTACTTATGTCATTGCAAACATAAAGTCAGGCATGTCAGCCCAAAGTGTCCCAAAGGAGATTATCATAAATGAGTACACAAGAAGGAGAGGTCATAGCCTGAAGCAGCCCTATATGCAAAACGTGACATCTCTTGCTTTATCTTTAAAAATAGGAATTTTTCATTATGCTCTACAGTTAATAATTTTTTCCTAAATTTTCCCATGCCTTCAAATAAAACTGAACCTCTACAAAAATGAGCCATCTTTATCCAGTGATTTGAATTTCATGTACATCACCTATATTTGGGCAGTGGCCTGCCCAGGTTTGAGAAGCACTGTTCTACGGCAGTCAAAAACACATCTAAAATCCAAATTCTCAACTGTGACCTACCCAAAAAAATCTGCTAAAAAAGCAATTACTGGGCCATTCTGTTCTCAACACTCACCTTTTAGAGGACTCGCCTCGCCCTCCTTCATATTCTTTCATGGCTTTTTCATAGTCTCTCCTGGCATCCTCAGCCTTGCGGTCCCATTCCTGTCACACACACACAAATCAGAGTGAAGACTGAGGCCTCTTCCCTGATGTAGGCAAAACCTACACAGAGAAGTTCCACCAGCAGCTCTCCCTGCCCCCTCTATCAGTAAGGAGACTCACCACCCAGAGAAAGCTCTTCTCAGCCTAGGAGAAATCCCTGTTCCTGCTCTCTGCTGCCACTCACCTCTCTCTTCTCTTTGGACATTCCCTTCCAGATCTCGCCTGCCTTCTTGGAAAGGTCTGTGATGCTGATGCCAGGATGATCTGACTTGATCTTCTCTCGGCTGGCATTGAGCCACAGCATGTATGCAGACATGGGTCTCTTAGGGGCATTGGGGTCTTTGCCCTTCTTTACCTGTGTGGAAAAGAACCCACTGCCATCAGCCATCTATGTCCCACAGATACCTCACGTTTTCCCAAAGAAATTATTTGGTTGACCTAACAGAGAAAATGAAGGAAGGACTAAATAGCATCAGGCAAGAGAGATCCCTAAAGGTAGAGGCTGCACCTTCCTCCTCCAGCTCAGGAGCAGCCCCTGGGAAACAAGCAGTCTGTCTCCTAATTCTGATCTTCCAGAAGTTAATTATCTCTGGATCAGAAAAAAAAATTTCCAAGACAATACCTCCCCCCCAATGATCATATTTACTGGCTACAAAAAGCAGCCCCAGGAGTACCAATCAGCAGGTCTTACAGTTGGTGGATGGGAGAAAGGCAAGAGAACGGATCCACACACACACTCTCTCTCTCCTATCTAGAGAACAGTCCGTACCTCCGTAGGCTTCTTGCGGCTCTTCCGATCCTTGGCCATCTTGGCCCTCTTGAGCTGTTTCCGCTTCTTCTCATCTCGATCACTGTCACCCTCATTACTGGAGGAGCTAGCAGAGGCATTGCTGTCAAACCTGCCAGAGAGTGGGGCTTAGACCCAGGGAAAGAGGATGGGATCCCAAGGCCTCAGAACAGGACGAAAGACAATCAAAAGACACCTGACCAGAAAGAGCAACAGAGGAAGACCAAGAAAAGAAACTCCATTACTAATGGAGTTTCCTACCCTGCTTCCTACCTTTGCTGAGGTGGCTTCAACTATGCCCTCTCCAGACCCAGCCACCACAATGAGATCTTTGTTGAATCAATCAATGAAAATCAAATGAATTGATAGGCTCCAGCTGCTCTTCTTGATTCTGGCCTAATCCAGGTTCTACTCCGTTCCCATCCCCAGGTATAGAAACAACAGAAGCACTGTCTCGTTCTTGCCTTAAACATGCCAAGTCCACTTTACTATTCCTTTGGGTTAATCATATTTACAGTCTTTTCTGATGAAGAAATAGCACCAAAAGGAAGTAAAACCAACTTCAGTTGAAGCCACCAATACCCATATAACTGGCAGTGCTATCCAATGCACCACAACTCCTCCTGCCTGACCTGTCTGCTGGTACAATTTCATAACTATTTGTGCGCTGATCTCCCTGAGCATGTGGCAAGTAGAGCTACTGGACTCCTGAAGGGTCTTTTGGGTTTGTTTTTGGTTTTGCTGCACAACATTCATTTAAAATCCTTCTGGATCAACAAGGGCAAACACAACAGTGGGACTGGACTTTGAGCACATGATAAAAGCGAGAGCACACAAGGGAGGGGTGAGGATAGGTAAGACACCTAAAAAATTAGCTAGCATTTGTTGCC